TTGAGTACAGTAATGAAGTATTTGTACTTCGTTACTTCCCATCTCTGTGGTGGACTGATTGGTTTGTTCAGAGTAATGCCTTGTGTTTCCACTATACACAACTACATTTTGTGTATTGTGGAAACACTACAATATACGTGCTCTGTATTCTACTTCTCTATGCTGAGAAGCTACAGTACGCACCTCTGCCATCCTCTTTCCATTTTTTGATGAAAACAGAGGTCTGTGAGATATTCACAGCTTGATATTTTTATAGCATAACTGATGCTATAATATAACTAATGCTTTGATCTAAACATGATCCCTGGACTCCCTGCTGTGTTTCTTGGTCATCATGATACCAGTTGTCTACTAACATCCTCTAAGGAACCTCTGAGGCCGTCACAGAAAAGCACAATTTGAGAATGACACATATACTTGGACTATGTTTACTTATAAGGCAACTCTTAGAAGACTATTTGAACTATAATTCATTTAAGCTTTAACATGTTGAACAAATGCATGCCATTTTCATTTTATGTGGGTCACTTAAAAGTTATGTCAGCATAAGGTTAAATATGGCATATAAATATAACTTAAGCTCTTCTGACTTACAGCTTGTGAAAAGGTTTGATCTTTTTGATTTGCTTTTAATAACCTCACATAATCAGCCTTATTCATGTTTGAAACAATTTATTTGCAAAAAAAAGAAGAATAAAGCAAACAGTAATCTGTGAAGGTATTACCAGTGTCACCAAACCAGAATGCATGTTAAGAAAGTGACTTTGGACTTGTCAGTGTTTTATTTGTGTGTGTAGGACTAAGTTTAAGTAAAGTTTACGAATATACATGAAGTTGAGCTTCCAAGACAAAGACAACACCTTAGGGCAAATTACTAACTTCTCCTTTCTTGTCAAAGCCACGCCCTGTAGTATTTCAAACATGCAGTTATGTAATGAAATAAGAAAGGTTAGCTTTAAGAGAGCAAAGTTCTTTGCAACTTTATTTTACAATTGCCTGATCTGCACTTCTGTACCTTGTTTTCCTTTCACAGATGACCAACATGGCAAGTATGGCATTATCGCTATGCTATCCAAAAAGGACTTTAGTAGTTTCAGGCAGTCTGTGAAAAGGGAGGACGTGCAGACACAGTATTCAGGCCGAAAGAGCCTACTTCACTTCACAGTAGCCAGCGGTGATGCAGAAAGTGTCAAGCATGTCCTGAGTCTGGGTGCTGAAGTGAACTGTACAACTGCTCGAGGTTACACTCCCCTTATCATCGCTGTTCTGCAAAGGTCTGTATGAAAATCTGAGCACAAAGTGTTCTATGAGTGGAGCAGGCAGAGTTGTTGTTGTGTTTTGAATGTATTAACATTTTGGGAAGAACAATAATAAACTCATCATGTTTTACACATTTTATTCTGTTTGGAAAAAAAAAAAATTTAAATAACGCTCTTATGCAGAAAGGATGTTCTTACTACAGCAAAATGCAAAACAAAAAAAAGATTGCTTAATCAAAAGAAGACAACCAAAAAAGGGCAAAATTTAGATTTAATAATAAACAATAAATAAAAGTAATGAAACAACAAGCAGGAGGATTACTTCTCAAACTTCTTATCATTTGAATAGCTAGAAAACAAGGCCAAGAAATTATCTTTCACAACAGTTTTTTATTTTTCAGGTTTTCACTATTTTCTTAGTTACAATATACCCCTTTGGCTTATGCATTTTTGTTTTGTGTCTTCTTCTTGTATTTTTGTCTCTGTTAATTTCCCCTTAGTTTGAATGTTTTTTTGCACATTCTGTTAGCAGTAATGATTTTATGGGATTCTTTATAAAAAGGAGGAGGTGTCTGCGGAGAGGGAAGTCTGGGAGTCTCTGCTTAGTCTGCTGCCCCCGCGACCCGGTTCCGGATAAAGCGGGAGACGACGATATATATATACGATATACGCTTTATAAATGAGATTGATTAAATTAAGATTGATCTTATTAAAAAGATCATTAGCGCTCCTCTAACTATGATTGGTTTATCTCTGGAAGGTGAGGCAGAATCTGAGGTAGCCATAGATTCTGAACTGGGTTTAGATTGCTTTGATCCAGTGGAACTTTTAGAGTAAGCAAAACTATCATCTCCATCTAAGCCTTCAACTTGTATGTTAGATCCAGTTCCAACCAGATTATTTAAGGAGGTATTCCCTTTGATCTAGTCCTACATTTTAGATGTGATAAATCTATCCCTGTTACAGGATATGTAGCCAAGGGTTTTAAGGTTGCTGTTATTATCTTTATTTAAGAAACCGTCTCTTGACCCAGATGAATTGGTCAATTATAGACCTATATCCAATCTTCCTTTTTTATCTAAAATTATTGAGAAAGTAGTTGCCAAACAATTGTGCGACCACTTACACCATTATGAACTTTTTGAAGATTTCAGTCTGGCTTTAGAGCTCATCGTAGCACTGAAACACCTCTGGTCAAAGTTGTTAATGATATTTTCATGGCCCCAGATAATGGACTTGTATCTGTGCTCGTCCTGTTAGATCTCAGTGCTGCATTTGATACAGTTGACTATAATATTCTTTTAGATGACTTGAATATTTTGTAGGAATTAAAAGCACAGCACTAGACTGGTTTAAATCTTATCTATCTGACCGATTTCAGTTTGTTCAATTTAATGATAACTCTTCTTCATGCTCAAAGGTTACCTGTGGGGTACCACAGGGATCAGTGATAGGGCCAATTCTCTTTGCTTTATATATGCTCCTAATCGGTAGAGTTATTAGACAGCATGGGATTTATTTCCACTGTTATGCTGATGATACTCAGCTATATGCGTCTATAAATCCAGATAAAGCTAACCCATTACATAAATTACAGGCATGTTGTAAGCACATAAAAACCAGGATGACTCTTAACTTTCTGCTCCTGAATGCAGACAAAAGAGAAGTCATAGCCTTTGGACCAGAGTCTTTGAAAAAGAAGTTGATTAGTCAGACACTTTATTTGGATGGGATTCAACTAATTTCAGATAATAAAGTTCAAAATCTTGGAGTTATTTTTGATCAGGGCCTGTCATTTAAACCCCATATTAAAGAGGTTTCTAGAATTCCATTCTTTAATCTGAGGAATATTGCAAAAAATAGAAATATCCTGTCCAGGGTGATGCTGAGAAACTAGTCCATTCATTTGTTACTTCAAGGCTGGGCTATTGTAATTCTTTGCGTTTAGGAGATCCACAAACTGTAGTTAAAAGCCTTCAGCTGATCCAAAATGCTGCAGCTAGAGTTCTGATGAAAATGAAAAAGAGAGATCTCATATCTCCTATCCTAGCTGCTCTTTATTGGCTTTCTGTTAAATCAAGAATAGAATTTAAAATCCTCCTTCTCACATATGTTGTTCTCTCTTCATCCTCTGACATGGGAGCTGGCTCGGAGCTTGTCTGCCTGGCTGTGTTTTTCCTGGTTAGGGCCGCCTTTTACAGTTGACCTCGGCAGATGGCCGCTCAAACTGAGCCTGGTTCTGCCGGAGGTTTCTTCCTGTTAAAAGGGAGTTTTTCCTCTCCAGTGTCGTAACAAGCATGCTTAGTGTGAGGGATTGCCTCCCAGGTCAGTGAGTTGATGCAATAAGCTAGTTTTCCTTAGAAAACTTGGAAACAATTTGACAGGATGATCTGGTGAACTGTTAAGTGCCTTGAGAGGAAAACTGAATTAACTTTAACTGAATTAAATGAGACTTATTTTGATTCTTAATCTTCCAGGTGTACAAATAATTTTGGACTTACCTGTCAAGCCCTATAACATCCTTCTTGTGTTTGTCTTCATTTTGTAATTGATCATATTCTTCCAACTAGCTTTTTAAAATTTAAAAACAAAATAAATCGTGCTGGGAAGTTTCTTAGAATATGTATAGAGAAGGTGCAGTATGACTGAAATACTGTATATGTTAAACTTCAGATTTGGACATGCCTTTATAAAAGCTTGAAGGACCATTTTGTATACACCTTTTACTAAATCAAGATACCTTATGAGTTTCAATCTATAACCCTCAAAAAAACAGAAGACTCTCTGTTGTAGCCTTTTATTGTCTGTTCTTTCGTAATTCATGTCAATATTTGTGTTCAACAAAGCGCAATACAGAAAAAAGGTTAAAATATTTCTCTTTTCACCAGGTTTTCTGACATCATCTCTTTGCTGCTGGAACATGGAGCAGATGCAACTCAAGGAGACGAAGACCAGTGGACACCTTTGCATTTTGCTGCACAAAACGGTGACGACAGAACCATCCGTCTGCTGCTAGAAAAAGGAGCTGAGGCTGATGCCCAAGAAAAGGCTGGTTGGATGCCGCTTCATCTGGCATGTCAGAATGGCCATGAAACAGTGGTGCGCTTGCTACTTTCGCGGCTGTCGGAGGACGCCACTGTCGCCCCAGAGGAGGATGAAGGAAGAACACCCCTCCATCTTGCCTGCTCCTATGGACACCTCAACATAGTCAAACTTCTCCTTGGACGGGGGGCTGATCCCGATGCTACTGACTATTTTTTTTCCACTGCTCTTCATCTAGCAGCAGAGCAAGGCCATAATCGTGTAGTAAGACTCTTGTTGACTAAGGAGGTCAAAACTGACATTTCAAACATCAGGGGATACACTCCACTTCATCTGGCTGCTTTGAAGGGCCATGCAGGTATTTGCAGGCAGCTACTGGCAAATGGAGCTAACCCAAACTCCAAGACTGACCAAGGGTGGACTCCCATGCACCTGGCAGCCCTAAGAGGACATGACTCTGTGGTGGTCTCTCTGGAAAGTACAGGTGGTTCAGTGAATGTAAAAGGCCAAAACGGATGGACTCCACTGCACCTGGCCTGCCACCAAAGCGAATCAGAGGTAGTGGCAAAGCTCCTGGCAGCAAAAGCGGACCCAAACATCAAAGAGGACAGTGAGGGATGGACACCCCTGCATGTTGCCTGTACTAGTGTTAGTTTCCCATGTGTCCTACACTTGATATCACATCAGGCAGATGTCAATGTAGTGAACTCAGGAAATGCCACACCTTTACACCTGGCTGCCCAACATGGCTGTGTGTCCATTGTTAAAGGTCTGCTGATGAATGGTGCAGACCGCACACTGAAAGACTCTTCTGGATCTACAGCTCTGAACATAGCCCAGCGGAGTGAAAAATGGGAAATTGTGGAGCTATTGGAGAACGGATATGAAGCATAAATTGAGTTTTATTGTAACCAGTGGGAATAAAATAGGGCTCCATGTTACCAGTAAAGAAAAACGGTATTGACCATACAAGAATATTATTTGGCTGCTGATTATTGCTTTGGTAAAACAGTTTAAGGTAGGACAATAAAGTTTTGAATGTTTTAGCATATTTGTTATGAAAAGGTTTTTATTTTTTATTTGATTAAAAGTACAAATGTAAAGTTTCATGTACAGGCTTTCTCCATTTTTTATGTCCAGCTTTTCAGCTAAAAGATGTTGTAGGCCCCAATATAGATTTTGCTCAGATTGGATGGGTGTTAAATGGGCCTGTTGTGAGAATGGGCCCTTGCAGTATACTCACTTTGGTTCCCTGAGTAGGTCCATATTAATAGACCCAGTTACCCATTATATAGTATCTACATTTTAACTGGTTTCTGAAATGGTTTACAAATAATAACAATAAAAAAGAAACAATTCAATTTATCTAAGGGGATATGGATCCTACTTTACATCTAATTACCATGAAGGTAGTTTGTAACCAGGGTGCATGTGGTGCCCACCAATATGTGATGCCTTACTGTATGTGGGAAGCCACGTTGCCTACATCATGCATAAATTAGTTCATATAACACCAATTTTAAATGTTGGTTTGAATTCATATTAAAGCAATATTTTCTAATTCTTCACCAAATCCCCTTATCTCAATGGAATGGTGTGACAAAACACTGCACACTCAAATAATGTATTGCCAATATTGCCAAAGCAGGCATTTAGATTACAGATAATTGCCTTCAGACCTGTTAAACCTGACATGTACATTACAGTGAAGCATGATCTTGAGTCTACATATTGGGTTCAAAATAAGGTGAAGTAGATTTTAATAGCAAAACCTATTGATTCACCTCTTTGAAGCAGTTCATGTGTACTCAGGGTACATTCTTCTTGTTGGAAGAAAAAAAAAAGATGAACATTTGAAAGAATTTCTAAATCCTATCATTTCATATAGAGACTATTAACCTTTAATCTGGTTAAATAAAATTTGACAGACTCAACACTGGTGATTTTAAATACAATTCTCCTAAGTCTGCTTAATGGCAGGGGAAGATAATTATTAGTTATTCTTAACAGGGCGATGGAATTGCAACCCTGCTCATGCAACGCTCAATTACCACAGTGACATCTTATTAAAATGGAATTAAATGCATGGATTCCGGAGCAGCAATGACCTATGCTTCACAAGTTTGTCCTCAAACTGCATGTTCTGCACATTTCACAGAGAACTAAGAGATGAATCCAATCAAACCTCTATAAATGAGGAGCATAGATTTGTGCTGGGTTCAAACCAGGCTTCAGTGTTTTTTTTAAACATCATCTTAATGTATCCTGTGGCATGTGATTGAATTTTTTTTACTGAAAAAATGTTTACTTTATAAAAATCAATCAATTCCTACACTTAATGGCCACTTTACTGTTCTTTCTTATTTCTGTTTAGTCATATATATAGATCAGTGGTGCCTGCTGCTCTTTAAAACAAGGGAGGTCCAATAGTGTAAATTAAATAAAATGTCATGTATTGCATTAACAAATGTTGAACCACATACAGTATAACACCTTACTACAACAAGTAAAAATAGCTGTTGTAAAGCACTCTAAAATAAATTCCAGAAACCACAACAAGTGTTAAGCATAAGTTGACTGTTCTGACTGAATGATCAATTTTCCCTTGTGACTCATGAGGAAAACCTCTATGGCAGGAACCTCTGCAAGAGTAGACCAAAGGTTAGCAACCACATCTATCTGGCAGACGATGATAATGAACGTGAGTCACTAACATGTTCTTATAGTTCAGTCCGTGCCCAGAGAATGAGGTTGGTCCAAGCCAGTTGGCTACCAACAAGATGCAGGTGGGCACCGCCCAGAGAGTCCCAGATGCCGAACTCCTGGAGGACGGAGAACAGGCAGACATCAAATTTCGAGCAGATGAAGGAAGGCAGGATAATCCACAGGACAATGCCAAAGCTGGTGTAGAGGTCATGCTCGGAAGTCAGAACCATTTGATCAGACGTCTGAAGAGGTAACGAAAGGAAATCCAGGACGGTGTCAAGAAACAGTTCCAGGTTTGGTCAACACACAGAATCCAGCAGGACTCCAAAGACAGGTCAGGCAAACAGTTTAAAAGGGGACAGGCAGGCTCAGAGGACCAATGCAGAACAGGTTAAGGTCAGGATAAGGCAATAAGAAACATACAGGTAAACTAGAGAACTCTCACCAAAGGCTTGAATAATCTGGCACTAATGACTGGAAGCAGGCAGGTTAAAGAGACTAAAGCAGGTGTATAAGAGCTGGGCAGGTGAAAGAAATAAGTAACCAGACCAGTCATCAGCGCCAAGATCATGACATTAATTATTACATTTATGAAGTCTTTAATATATATAACAATATATATATTTTACCACATTTTACCAATAATTTAGTTTCTCAAAATAGCAACATTTTGCTTTGATTATTGCTTCACACACTCTTGGCATTCTCTTGATGAGCTTCAAGAGGTAGTCACCTGAAATGGTTTTCACTTCACAGGTGTCCCCCGTCAGGTTTAATAAGTGGGATTTCTTGCCTTATATATGAGGTTGGGACCATCAGTTGTGTTGTGCAGAAGTCAGGTGGATACACAGCTGATAGAATTTGTATTATGGCAAGAAAAAAGCAGTTAAGTAAAGAAAAACAAGTGTTCTTAGCCAATGCTTTGTTAAGCCAGTGGTAGAGTTTCCTGATATCTACCACTTCGACTATGTTTCGGTGGTACATTCCTTGTAGGGGCTTATCCTCCCATGACGGAGTCTCTGGCACCTATATATATATATATATATATATATATATATATATATATAATTCTTGTGAGATTTTGTTAGTAAAATAGATCGATACCGCGTCAATATATCAACATATAAAAATATGGCAAAGTTTCGTGGATTTTCGGGGGATTTCGTAGCATAACGATGACATATAGCAATATTTCATTTGTAAAAGAGATTGATATGGTGTTTTTAAATGGCAATATATCAGCATATGAAGATATTGGGATATTTTAATGTATCAATATTTTTCCCTCGNTATATATATATATATATATATATATATATATATATAATTACAGTGTAAGCAGTATATACAGTATTTTTTCATTGCAGCCTTTTGCTAAATTCATTGGTGTCTTATTAATGTACACTCGGCACCCCATCTTAACAGAAATAAAACCGCAATGTAGAAATTCTTGTAAATTTATTAAAAAAGAACTAAAATATCAAATCATCATATGGATTTAAACTCTTTGCTCAGTATTGAGTAGAAGCACCCTTTGGAGATGGTACAGCCATGAGTCTTCTTGGGAATAATGCAAGATCACAATCAGAATCAGAATCAGAAATACTTTAATAATCCCAGAGGGAAATTACTTTTGTTACACGCTCCAGTTACAGTTTTATATAATATATACACACATCCAACTACACAATATGATAAAGCTAAAAAATAGGAACAAAAAGAGATAAAATATAAACACATATAGCTCTTCTGTATATATGTATATATATATATATATATATATATATATATATATATATATATATATATATATAAATGTACGTATATCTATGCATATGTAGAAACTAAATCCAAATAAAGTGAAAATCCAAGTAAAGTGATAAATCCAAGTAGAGTGATACTTGGCGTGCAAAAATAGTGCATAAATGTCAATTACGGGGTGGTGCCAAAGATGCTTTTCACACCTGGACTTGAGGATCCTCTGTCATTCTTCCTTGCAGATCCTCTCCAGTTCTGTCAGTTTGGATGGTGAGCATGGTTGGTCCGCCATTTTCAGGTCTCTTCAGAGATGCTCATTTGTTTTTAGGTCAGGGCTGTGTGCTTAGGGTCATTGTATTTTTGGAAGGTGAACCTTAAGCCAAGTCTGAGGTCCAGAGTACTCGGGAAGAGGTTTTCTTCCAGGATCTCTCTGTACTTGGCCGCATTCTTTTCCTGTCACTATCTTGGCATCTTTCAAATGAACTAAATGCATTGATAATTCATTTTAAAGCATAGCCTAAACAGACACATCAAGAGCTGGTAGTTTTTGTGGGAAAGTTGCATATGTGCTGTGTAAACAGAGGATGGCCTGGGGGATGGTAGGTTTCATGCAGTTTAATCTACACACAGCAATAGGATCTGCCTACACAAACTGGTTAGAGTCACATAGTTTCACTTAATCCTTCCTTCCAGGTCCTGCATTCATTTTCCCAAAGACTCATGCCAAACCGGTTTTTATCATTTTTTGTTAACAGATGACACATATCTAAGGCATGCATTGCCTTGTCACTGCATTTTTGCCATTCCGATCATACACACCTCCGTTTTTCTCCATACCAAAGTCCTAGGACCAGTTTCAGGCACAAGAAAAGAATATCACACAGATTTTCCCACCTCTTTTCAGTAAGAGGCACTTAAATCAATGTTTTTTCCTCAACCTTTTTACACAGACATGGAACGACACATCGGATAGGTTCTATCTAAGCCAGTAATTGGGTTTTGGGCACCTAAACTAATTTTATTTCCTAATAGGGAGACAAGCAGGAAGAAGATAATGTCATGTAAGTTGTTGTTACCTCAAACAACAGAAGAAAAAAAAGACAGGGGGACTGCACAGCAGTGGCCTTCAAATTTAATAGCCTTTGTTTTCTGCTATATTCTGTCTTAATTACATTGTTTTCACTGTATTTATTAGGTAGAATGATAATATTTGCAAGGCTGTTCAGCTGGAGATTTTTTTCGTCTGAATAAATTTAATCAAATACAATAAAAAAGATAAATAAATGAATCATTACTTAAGAAACTTAAAGTGTACATGAAAAGTTGCCGACAAAAATTGATAAAAGCAATAACAGAATAGAACTGAATAGAAATATTGTCCCACAGTGGGAGAAAATACAGTTCAACAACAGCAAAATGACAAGCAAATGGAAGCAGGCAAGTAGAAAAAAGATTAAAAAAAGGCAATAAGAGACTGTACAGCGAGGGCAATTTTACAACATAAGATGTATACAGTACAGACTAAAGAAACTGGCAACTGACGAGTTTGCCGGATCAAAAACTGTAGTTATAAAAAAAAATGTAGTTCTGTCACTAAAGAATACCCTAATTCTGCAACAGATTATTGCATTAGGTGGATAAATTCTCCAAGAATTTAGAGAGTTTGATTAGGCTGAGGTTGCATTCTGGAACAAAACTGGCTTTCCTGAGTTTATCTAACCCCTCCCTCTGAGCGGTAGATAATCTGCTGCTCCAGCAACAGCCTGTTTGCTTGGAAGGTGCTGCTGGACCAAGGCAACTTGAATATGGAAAGAATTTTGTTGCATTACTTTTGCAGACAAAGAACATGTTTTGTGAAGGGAATAAAAAAAAATGTAGTCTAGAAATGAAACTTTGAAACATATTTCTAATAAAAAAAGAGTAACGTCCCTGTTTTCTCAAATTTGATAAAAAATAAATGGTATCTTTCATATTTTTTGAAGTTTTTTTAAATATTTTAAATGTTCCTGTTTACAGATTGAGTTTTACAAACTGTGTTCTCTTCATTTCAAGCCCAATAGAAAGACACTTTCTTAACAAATACAAATATAGCGACTTTGTCGCTAAATATAGCGACTACTCTTGTCGCCCAGCGGCAGGTGCTGCCGTGGGGCGCCTCCCCGATCCCAACCCCGTTCTCCTCTTGCTTCCGCAGGAGTCCCTCTCAGCACTGCAGTCAGAGCCACAGCATGTTTACCCTCAGTGTCCAGACTGCAAATGAACAGCGCGCATGCACCGGAATTGACGGCGTAGGTTGATCACGCAGTGCCGTCGCGACCTGGGTTATATTCAGGGCGGGAGCAAGCGGGATGTAAATGTAAAATGTTATTTGGTCTAATAACTGAATTTGAAATGTTTTACCTTAAATATCTAACGGCTTTTGATTCACACAGCCACAGTTACTTAATCACTGTGTCCATTGTGTTTTCCGCTATAAGACAAACATTGCTCTGGCTAGCTGGAATCATTATGTCTCAGTCTAAACTGTACACTCAAAAATAAAGAAAAGATTGTGAATCAAACCCTGAATTCAAAGGCTGGTTGAAGCTGTTTATTGGAGATGATACATGGGCATACTGCTTGTATTGAAAGACTGTTATTTATGCCAAACTTAGCGAAAAAAACACCTGACAAATCAAAAACATATACAAAAGGCAAAGCCTTACAGTTCTACACAAGCCAAGCTGCCATTCATGGTTAGACAAACAGACTCTGCAAAGAAGGCTGAGGCCACCATGGCA